GCGACTCCTGAAGCCCCCTGCTCCCCCGGGCGCGGCGGGGGCCCATGGGCTTCTCCCCTTCGGGTGCCCGACTGGGGTGGGGACGCCGGGCGCCGCCATCTTCCGCGAAACTCACGGGAGCGCCGCGTGCGCCCTTTTTGTGAAGAGGCCTGGGGTTGGGCAGGGGGCTGAAGGCCGGACAAGGACGGGGAAGGGTCGCGGTGCGTGTGCAGGCGCTGCCAGGTCAGTGCAAACACTGTTCACCTCTCAAGGGGCGCGGGGAGAGGCGCGCGGAAAGAGGGGCTCGTCTGGGGGGTCGCGGGGTCTCCCCGAGTGGGGGCAACACTCCCCTCGGCGGCACTGTCCCCTCCCCGAGTGGGTACCCAGGCCGAGAGGGTGGAAGCGTCCCCGAAACGCGTACAGGAGGCGCAGGGATGTGATCGCCCCCGCACCGTGCCCGAACAAAGGTGGCAGGCAGGGAGTTTGTCGGTTCACCCTCTCATCCCCCGCAGCTCCCAGGGACCCTTAAATGAGCCAGGGCTCTGCATCCCGGGGTGGGCACAGAGAGCTGGAGTGGAGGGGGCGGCCCTCCGTGCTCTTCCCCGACCAGGGCCGCCTTCCCCGGTAGAGCCCCCAACTGGTACACGGAGCTCCGGAGGGCGGTGAGGGGCGCCCTTAGGAGAAGCCTCCTCCTGCCACACTACGGGGAAAGGCTGGGACAGCCCCTGACGCCCCGGATGTCTCCTGCTACCTGTGAGCCACCAGAAAGGCCTCGGGCTGGGTCCCTGGCCTGGGAACTTGGTCTTCCGTGCCGCTGGGCTCCGACTTCTGCTTCCCTGGTTAGATTAAAACTCTAACGCTGTTCAGTCGTCTATTGGAATCCTGTTCCTCGCTTTCCTCTCCCCCAACTGTCTCTTCCTCCCAACTTAACCGTTTCCCTTTCTTCACACACACTGCGGGTTACTGGCTCTCACAGTGCCTCTCTGCACCCCAGGATCTAACAGCTGGCTGTTTCTCAGGGGGAGCTAACAACCCGGGGCTTCTGCAGTTTTCCAAAAGGAGAGAAGTGCTGTAGTTATGCGGGGGCTCGGATGGGGGTGGAGGCTGCAGTGTGGGACCCTGGGCTAACAGAGAAAGGAACCCGAGGAGGGCCAGGCTCGGAGGGGACTGGGGAAGACTTGCCAACCCCTGAGCCGCGGCTGGGAAGTGCTTGCTTCTGACCCTGCCCGAGGGGAACCTTGTGCTCTTTAGCTGCTGAGGGTGAGATCGGAGGCCGGAAGCCCAGGTCCGCCTTCTTCCTAGATGCTCCTAGGGCTCCAGAAGCCCCGCAGAGCCCCAAATCAAGAATAGTAGAAGGGGGGGGACCCTGAAAACACCAGATATATCACTAATTTAGACACCAGCTCATCCTGAAAATGGTAGGTAAGTCTGTCTCCTGGCAGGTGCGCGGTGGGCCAAGCTGCTGGCCATGTGGACAGGTCAAGGGCATCTCAGAAAGTCACCTCTGGCTTTCTTGTAGAACCCTGCAATCTCACAGTGTTCAGGCTCCTTGAACTTCGGGTGATGACCTCCCTACTTGGGTTGATCAGGGAGGTTTATGGGGCAGCACTGAGTGTAGATCTTTTATTCCCGCCTTCTGTGCTGTCTCCTCCTAACCAGGAAGCCTTCACCTTTAAAGGTACCCAAGCTGCAAGGCAGCCCTCCCCGCCACTGCCCATAAATCAAAGAGCAAAAGTGTTCAGGGCTTGAAAGTTGGGCCTGGAATACAAACGGCTTTTTTTTTTTTCCTTCTGGAAAGTTACCAAGTGGCCACTCGAAGCCCACACTCTGTCTTTACCTCCTCCACCCTCTCCCCAGGCAGAGTTAGCGGAAGCCCAGCCTTTACCTTGTAGTGGTCATTGCGTCGCTTCCGTCCCGGTCCCCTCTTTTGAAGTACGCCGGCCTGGTGTTCTGTTCAAGGCTGAATCGCTCTGTGGCTGAAACAGAGAACGGTGTGTTAGCCGGAAGTAACCTGGTTATTAAGCAGTAATACGGACCAAAAACATTGCCATCGGACTGGGAAGGTGGCCTAGTGGCAGAGCGTCTGTCTGGCCTGCGTGAGGCCCTCCCCAGCGTTACAAAGACAAAGCAAAACAAAAACCTTCTACCACCTCCCCCAGTGACCGACCTGGCGGCGGGGACCCCCAGGCCGAGGGCCGGAAATTCCTGAGGGAGGTAGAAGTCCGCGCCTAGAGGCCCCAAGCTTTAAAAACAGAGGAGCAGATTTCTCCGGCTCCAGCTCTTACCCTCTTCTCAGTCGCTTCCCTCCTTGGCTCCTGAACTGCGAGGAGAACCGGCGAGAACCCCGATTCCCCGCTCCCGGCTCCCGCGCGCCTGTGCCCGGCCGATCCG